GCCTGGACGAATTGGATTGAATGGCCTCTTTCTATGCTGTCAACTACAGAAGGCTAAGGGGACTGGGAGACAATTGGAGCTTCCAAGGTTGAAGTTTATTGATTGATTAATTCGATCACGGCTGTTCTGTTTTTGAACTCCGTCTATCCGTCTTGGTTCTGAAACACTTAATACCCTTATACACACAAAGATGTATTAATCACAGTTTGGAAATGTTCAATATACCTCCGGACATGGCAACATCTTGGGGGCCAGAATTCCTGATTTTCACTCCCTTTTGTGAGAGGAGGTGCTTGCTGACATCATGCCCCTTTGTTCCTCACTCTCCCAGGGCAAATCGTTTTTCTCCAATCCACCTTAAAGACCTTATTTCGATCATTCCTTAATCTGAGGCACTCAAGGAAATGACAGATTCGTTTTTGTGAACTATCCTCATGATTTGACTGTTTAGGTCTCGGAATCATTCTGGGAAGTCTGCAGTGGCCCCCTCCCCAGGGGTACAATATCTCAAATCCAGCTGTCTGAGAACCAGACATTTATTTAAACTGCCTTTACCTGACTTGCCCTCCTCACTGAAACCTTTGCTCCAATTGTCAGGCTGAGAAGGCCCCTAGCATCTCACAAGAGAGTTTCTGTCATCCTCACGACAAAGCAACACTGACAGACCAGAAGCAACTCCATAGGATTTCCTGCCTTATCTTGCAGCATTGTCTTCTCAAAAATTATTTATTTAAGGGGACGTGGGCTTCATTTATTGCCTGTCCCTAGTTGCCCTGGAGAAGGTAGTGGTGATGAGCTGCCTCTGTGAACCACTGCAGTCTGTTCCTTTCAGAACCACCCTTCGTGATCCCTGTTTGAGAAATGTATCGTCCACACTCCACAAACCTGACCTGAACTGGCTCAATCTGCCTCACCGAAATAGGCACAAGATTGGAGAACTGGCATGGTCTCAATCCAGAGGTTACTGGGCTTGAGATCGTCTCCCTGTATCCCGACCCTCAGCTACAGCACCCAAAACTGAAGACAGTCTTCCAGCTATGATCTCCCCAAAACTCAAGCAAAGAACTGCATCTCACTGCTTTCCTGTCCCCTTCAGATAAAGCCAAATATCCTCTTAAACTTTTCAATTATTTTTGTGCTTGCTGACTGAAGTTTAGTGGATTTCTGTCCTTTAAGAAGTCATTTATGGGATGTGGCCATCACAGGCTGGGCCAGTATTTATTACCCAGAGGGCAGTTAGGAGTCATCCTCATTGTTGTGGGTCAGAAGTCACATGTAGGCCAACCTGGCTGAGCACATTAGGGAACCAGATGGGCCTTTCCAACAATCACTGTCATTCAACTCCTAATTTATGTTGATTTAGAAATACCTGCTAGGGTAGGATTTGAACCTGGGTACACAGAACAATACCTGGAGTCTCCAGATTAATAATCTAGCAATAACACCACTAGGCCATCTCCAGTCTCCATGTGGACAGTCAAATTACATAGGTTACATAGAATTATATAGATTGCATAGAATCCCTACGGTGTGGAAATAGGCCCTTCGGCACAACAAATCCACACCGACCCCTGGAGCATCCCACCCAGACCCATCCCCCCACAACCCACCTAAGCTACACATCCCCGAACACTACGGGCAATTTAGCATGGCCAATCCACCCTAACCTGCACGTCTTTGGACTGTGGGAGGAAACCGGAGCACCCGGAGGAAACCCACGCAGACACGGGGAGAATGTGCAAACTCCACACAGACAGTCGCCCGAGGGTGGGATTGAACCCAGGTCCCTGGTGCTATGAGGCTTATTACCCTGCTCCACCACAGTTCTTAACTGTTGACCACTTGGGAAATATTTAGGGGTCTTTCTTAGATCCATTGTTAATGATCTCACCCTTCCCCCACATTGAATTCCATCTGCCACAGTTTCACCCTCTCACTTAATCTATCAGCATCAATTTGCAACATTCTGTTCCCATTCTGTGATATGTACTGTGTCACCTAACAGTTTGAAATAGCCCCAAAAACGTCAAGCTTGTAATAAGCACAACATAATGTCCCAAAAACAACAGGAAAGAACTCAGTAGAATCGAGTCATTTCATTTGTAACCCTCCCTCCGTCACAGAATATGGGTGATCCTGTTGAACACCCTCAAGATGCAGTGTGCCAGGAAACAATCTGATCTATTATTGACGCTTTTCAAAGAATCCCATTGACAGTGGTTTATAGCACAGTGCTTGGAATCAAACCTGCACCAAATGCTATTGTTCGTTGGGACATTTTGCACTGTTGCCACAATTTAACCCTCTACCTACCCTCACCTGCTTCCTGACCCAGCATCTGCCCCTCTCCCAGACTTCCATAGGAGTTCCTGTGAAGATAGCTCCAAGTCTGCGAATAGTGCACGGGGACAGATTGATCAGCAAATTATCTCAGGGGCTGAGTGATGGTATCCACCTGCCATGTGTTTCTCTCTGAGAAAGTGTCAGGATTTATTTGTGCCTGAACCCAGCCAGCAAGCATTGGGAGGTCTATGGTGAAAATAGCTTTGGATAGCATTGGAAATGGATTCTGCCAACGGAGTGAGTCCACACTTGGCTGAATAGTTGCGACATTTTCTTCTGGCTGAAAATAGGAAGACTCTCCCACCAGACAGATTTCCCAGCTGGGAGGGCAAAGACACATCTTCATGTAGTTTATATTTTATCCTTCCAACCTTTTCCCCACACACATCCCTAAAGTCCCACACCTCGTCCCCACCCTGGTGCTTCCTCTCTAATGAAATTTGTTACTTCGTCCTGCCTTTGGCCATTTATCAACACCTTCCTGTCTTTTCAAGGAAAGAAACAGAATTAACATCTTAAATTGGACACAAACTCCTCTTCTGACTCACAACTCAAAATGTGAACTTTGTTTCTCTTTCTATTGATGCTGCCAGACCTGCTGAGTTTCTCCAGCATACAGACTTTCTGTTTTCATTCCAGCATTTCCAGTTTTTTTTACATTTATTTCCCATTCTTCATCTTCAGTTGGACATTGGCAGGAAATCGTATATTAGCTGGATGTCTCAAGTCTTAGTTTTCTTTTATTCTGTCGTGGGATGTGGGTGTTGTTTTGTTACCCATCCCTAACTGCCCTTGGACTGAGTGCCTTGCTGGGCATTTCAGAAACACTGCTGTGGGTCACATGTAGGCCAGACTGGGTAAGGATGGCAGATTTCCTTCCCTAAAGGACGTTAGCAAACCAGATGGTCGTAATGTCAATCGATGAATGCTTCATGGTCACCATCATTGAGATGAGTTATATGTTCCAGATTTATTCATTCATCAGTCTTAAATTCATCTGGTTGCTGTGGTAGGATTTAAAAGCATTTTCCCAGAGCATTAGCTTGGGTCTCTAGATTACTAGCCCAGTGACATGGCCTCTACCCCACTATCACCTTGCCTTTCACCCCTTGTGCTGTCCTGACCTACATTCCAGCAGGTAAAGTCATCGTAGACCATAGGGCTGCTGTCTCATTAGAGTGGTGGTTTAACCAGAGGGTCACCGTGCCTCAGGCGAGGAGAGAGGCTGAGAAGGACAGTCCTTCATGGTAACCTCAGCCAGTGCAGGAACTGAACCCATGTTGTTGGTGTCACTCACCAGTGATCTGGCTAACTTAAAGCCATATCGGTAATGTTGCCGTAGCACTCAGTGACAGCCTATGGTCTGGAAAGACTGCAGTGACTTGACCTTTACTGTTATGTACCAAGTGTGCATCAACTTTAAAATTCTCATCCCTCTGCTCAGATCTTTCCAGGGCCTCCCCACTCTGTAACCTCCTGCAACCTTACAGGATCTTGGTGAACCAAAGGCTCCAGACTTTTGAAGCGTCCCCCATTGGGAGCCTGGGCTCCAAGCTCTAGAATTCCATCCAAAACCATCCTGTCCCACTATGTCCTCCTTTTCGTTGCTTCATACCATCATCCCCTTCAAATTACTTTCTTGGGTGTGTGGTCCATGCTTGGTAAGGTTTCCAGAATCGGAAGCCAATTTGTCAGTGATTGGCATGGGTGGGCCTACCCAGCAGCCACTTTAAGGAGATGTTGCTTCGTACTACTCAGCTTTCACAACCCAGCCTTTAGTGACCTGTACTCTTATCTCCTTACAAAACATAGAAAATAGGAGCAGGAGTAGACCAGTCAGCCCATAAGCCTGCTCTGCCATTCAATATAATCACAGCTGATCCTCTATCTCAATGCCATATTCCCGTTTTCTCCCCATACCCCTTGATGCCTTTCAAATCTAAAAATGTGGTTCCCAACCATCAACAAATCTATCTATCTCTTTCTTGGCCTCCCCAGCCTTCTTTTGTTGAGAATTCCACGGGTTCATGACCCTTTGAGTGAAGAAATCTTCCCTCAACCCAGTCCTACATGGTCTACCCCACATACTGAGACAGTGTTCCCCGGTTCTCGACTCCCTAACCAGGGGAAACACCCTCCCCGCACTCCCTCGGTGGCAAGTATATTCTCTCGTACGTGGCTTGGTGTTGAATTCTGTTTGTTAATCACTCCTTGGAAACTTGTCGGGATCTCTCGCAATGTTGAAGAGGGGAATTTTAAAATCGGGTTTCTGCTGGGACAGAAGGCAATGTCAATGAACAAGCACTGGGGTGATGGGTGAATGGTCATTCGTGCACGCTCAGATGTAGCAAACAGGGTTGCGGTTAAGCTGAAGCCTGGAGGGTACAAGTCAGGAGTGCGTTGGAATAATCGAGTTACGAAGTTAATGAAAGCATGACTTGTCCTTGTAATGGTGGGTGAGCTGACCGTCAAAGTATTTAACGTGTGAAATGTTGCCGAGAGAGCTGTGGAATGTATCACTTATCAAAGGGGAATTGGTTGACTTGAGGATTGGCTGTTGGGAGATTAAAGTAGTCCAGTGACTCTGCGATCAAACTGTACCGTCCACTCAATAGATTCATGGTTTCCTTCTGTTTGCCGTGTTTGTCCCTGTGTAGCTCCGAGTGCCCCCCCTCAGTCAGTGACCGTGATGATGGTTGGGAACCACAACAGCACTAGCATCAGTGTTTCCTGGGATCCTCCACCTGCAGAACAACAGAACGGCATCATCCAGGAATACAAGGTGAGTAACCATCCCGAGGAAGGGACCCTACACAGAGCGGGAGAGATGGTGGAGTGTGACGGGGTTGGATGGTAGTGAAGGTAGATTTAGAAAGGAATTGGATAAGCACCAGAAGTGGGGAAGAAAATGTCTGGGCTAAGAGGGAAGGAGCAGGCAGTGCAACTACATGATGGGCCAAAGGGCCTCTTAAGCTGTAATCGTTCGATGAGTGAACCGGTTAGAATATTACAACCGTCTACAGGCAAACAGACACATTTAGAGCAGCAGTAGGCCACTTCACCCCTTGAACCAGCCCCGTCATTCACTAGCATCAAGACCGATTTGATAAATTCACATTTCTGTCAACTCCTGAGGACCTCTCAACCTTGTGCCCACCGAGAATCCATCTACCTTTACCCTACTCAAAAATTCATAATGATTCGGCTACACCAATTTTGAGGAAAGTTTCACAACCTCACGACCTCCGTGAGAGAAAAGGATTTCTCTTTATCACTGTTAATTGTGTGAGCCCTGATCTTTGAGCAGGAGGCCCTGATCTTTGAACAGGAGGCCCTGATCTTTGAGCAGGGAGCCCTGGTTCTAGTTTGTCGGAGCTGAATCTGCTGCTCGGAGTCGGAAATGACACTCTGTGTGCCTGTTACATTGGCAGACTGTCCCTTACTGATCACACCTGCAGCCTATGACAGTGTTGACCTCAGCATCTTCCTCCAATGCCAGTGCACTGTCCTCCAGCTCTCCCTGGGATCCATTCTGATCTGTCTTACCAGGCAATCTCCTGCAATGATTTCTCTTCCTGTTGCCACACTCTTACCTTTAGATATGGTGCCTTGGCAATGCCACCCGGTTTCACATCAACAAGACTGTGGACGCTGCTATACGTTCCGTGGTGATTGGTGGTCTGCTTCCTGGTGTCCAGTATCGTGTCCAAGTTGCTGCTAGTACCGGTGCTGGTGTCGGTGTCAAGAGTGAGCCACAGCTCATCATCATCGGTAAATTCTCGCTCTCCCTCCCTTTCTCCTCCCCTCTCCCTTTCTCCTTCCTTCTCTCCCTCCCCCTCTCCCTCCCTCCCTCTCTCTACTTCCCTCTCTCCCTCCCTTTCTCCTCCCCTCTCCCCCTCTCCCTTTCTCCTTCCTTCTCTCCATCTCTCTCTCCCTCCCTCCGTCTCTCTACTTCCCTCTCTCCACTTCCCTCTCTCCCTCCCTGTCTCCTCCCCTCTCCCCCTCTCTCCTTTCGTCTCTCCGTCCCTCCATCTCTCCTTCCTTCTCTCTGCCCCTCCCTCCCTCTCTCTCTGTTCCTCCCTCACTCTCTCCCTCCCTCTCTCTCCTGCCCTCTCTCCCTCTCTCTTTCACTCCCATTCTCCCTCCCTCCCTCTCTCCCTCCTTCTCTCTCTTTCCCCCTCTCCCTCCCACCCTCCACTGAGCCTATGGCACAGGCCTCATGCCTCCTGATGTAGTCTTTGTCATCTCGGGTTCACCCAGAAGCTCTGTTTCCTGCTTGGGTCTGCATTGTACACTATAATAATGTATTAATTCTGATTTGTTCATCATTGACTCCTCAGCCAGCCATACGTCGATTTTAAAATTCTAACCATTGCTTTCCAACCCCTCCGCAGCCTTGTCCCTCTCTCCCTCAAATCTCCTCTCATCCTGTAACTCTCTGGTCTGTATGCTAATATTTAACTTTTCAAAAAACTCATTCACAAGATGTAGGTGTAACTGGCTGTTCCAGCATTTATTGCTCTTCCCTAATTGCCTAAGAGGACAGTTAGGAGTCAGTGACATTGCTGGAGTGACATGTGAGGCAGACCACATAAGGTCAGTAATTTCCTTCCTGAAAGAACATTCGTGAGTCTGAGATAACAAGGTGTAGAGCTGGATGAACACAGCAGGCCAGGCAGCATCAGAGGAGCAGGAAAGAAGTATTCAGACCTGAAACATCAGCCTTCCTGCTCCTCTGATGCTGCTTGGTCTGCTGTGTTCCTCCAGCTCCACACCTTGTTATCTCAGATTCTCCAGCATCGGCAGTTCCTACTATCTCTCTCTTAGTGAGTCAGATGTGTTTTTACAACAATCAACATCATTCCATTCCTGGTTCCAGGTCTATATTGAATTCAAGTACCACCTTCTGCCCGTGCTGGGATTCCAACCTGGTTCCCCAGACCTTTCCCTGGGTTTTCAGATTAATAATCGAATGAGGAAAAGACTAGACCATCACCTCCCCAGGGTATTGCAGTTATCCTCCAAATCCAGACTCTTGTGTTCCCCTGATTTGGATGTATGTTTATTATCGGCCACAACAGTATTCATGCCCATGAGTTTGGGTTATCCCCTCTATTCTATCCTATAGATAAATACCATAAGGATTTTGGCATCTCACAGCACTACCCCACCCTATAGAGCCCTCTAAGCAAGTCAATTCAATAAGTGAATGATTACAGTGAAATACAATAAAATACAGTGGAAAGCTTTTATTTGTAGCCATAATCCAACATAATTTTAAATCAGATTCTTAATCAGCGTGAAAATCCTGCCATTAAGTTCACCCCCCTTCAACAAGGGAAGGCTGGAGTGAGAAGTGTCATTGACACCTTCCACCCTGTACCTCAGAATGTTTCCTGCCCGGCTCATAGTCATGCCAGCCACTTTGCTGTGGGAGAGTGACCTTGATATTCAGACCATCCCGAGGTTTTTGTCCGTAACCCGCCATATGTGTACACCAAAGCATCATTCTGATCTAGGGCAGCATGGTGGCTCAGTGGTTAACACTGTTGTCTCACAGTACCAGGGACCTGGATTCGATTCCAGCTTCGGGCAACTGTCTGTGTGGGGTTTGCACATCCTCCCCGTGTCTGCATGGGTTTCCTCCGGGTGCTCCGGTTTCCTCCCACAGTCCAAAGATGTGCAGGTTCGGGTGGATTGGCTATGGGATGGGGGATGGGTTCGGGTGGGATGCTGTTCAGAGGGTTGGTGTGGACTCGATGGGCTGAACTGGCCTGTTTCCACACCGTAGGAATAAAGGTACAATGCCAATCACTTGCTCCTTAATGAATTCCCAATGAGAAACAGTTGGTCAAGGAAAGGAAATGTTGGATTTTGGTAAAGGGACAGGAATGTTATTTTCTGCAGGGAGCCGTGGCGATGACATCTTCATGACTGGACCTGGGAGTAACAACAGCATCACAGAGCAAATCACGGACGTGGTGAAACAGCCAGCTTTCATTGCGGGCATCGGTGGGGCTTGCTGGGTCATTCTAATGGGCTTCAGCATCTGGCTTTACTGGCGCAGGAAGAAGAGGAAGGGACTCAGCAACTACGCAGGTGAGGGGGAAGGTGCCCAGCTGCTAGGAGAGTGCCAGTACCCAATGCCTGGGCCAAGCTTGGTTGTTGCCTTCAAAGAAGGACAATTCAGGAGTGCAAAGACAGCCGGGCATGAGAGCAGGCAGCCTCACTTTGTGCCTCAGGGTAGCCTGGGGTTCCGATTGTGCTCAGTCAGAGAGAATTCCTCAGGCATTGCAGAAACCATCTCACTGCTACGACATTGATTAGCTCCCCAGGAGCGGGCAGGGAATGAAAATGGGTTGGGTTTCTGAGGGCTGGTGAGTGATAAATCATGGGGGAGAAAAGTAGGTATCCTTCCCTCACTGACAAGTAAGCAAGCCACTCCAACCCAAATGCTTTGTGCATGCCAAAGAGCTTGCAAATGTGGAAACTTGCTGCCTCCCTTCAGTCAGTCACCTTGTTTCAAACAATATAGGCCTTTGTCAAACCTCCAGGAATAGGACACAATATTAGCAACAGAAAGAATGTCTTTGCTGCCTGTAGTTAGATGTTATATTGAACTACTTATACTCCAGGTTAGAAGCTCAGTGAGTTCCTGGTTTCTAATTTCAATTTGTGTTGAGTTGAGCTGAGTTGGGCCATTGCGATGTTGCTTTAGGAAGGCCTTAGACGGAGAGGGTGAGGAGCAGGGAGATCAGTCGCGGTTGCTGCTCCTTTCTGGACTGCTGGTTGTTACATGGTCTGTGAGAGGACCGGACTCTCAGTTTGGCGTTGGAGTGGTGCGAGCCAGACTGTGGCTCACAAACAGCCCCAGATGGTCGGGGCTGGACCAAGGACATTCTGAAAGGACCAAGGTCCAGTCGGATCTGCAGACATTCTGAGGGGCTGTGGCCAGTTATTATGGATCTGTTTCCCATTGAAGGTGAGTATCAACAGTAACGAAGGTGCACAGGCAGCAGGGAAAGTTGCTGAAAGAAAATAGGAGAGAATAATTTCACACTGTGTTCTGTGTCTGGTCTCTTCATATTGGGGTACTTCACATTCATTTAAATTCACTTGTGGGACATGGGTGTCACTGGCTGGGCCCAGCATTTATTGTCCATCCCTAGTTGCTCTTGAGAAGGTGGTGGTGAGCTGCCTTCTTGAACCGCTGCATCCTACCTGTTGTGAGTTGACTCACAATGTCCTTAGGGAGGGAATTCCAGGATTTTGACCCAGCAATAGTGAAGGAATATCAATGTATTTCCAAGTCAGGATGGTTGAGTTGCTTGGAGGAGAGATTGCAGGGGGTGGTGTTCCCATGTATCTGCTGCCCTTGTCCTTCAAATGGAAGTGGTCGTGGGTTTGGAAGGTGCTGTCTGAGGATCATTGGTGAATTATGCAGAGCATCTTGCAGATAGCACACACTGCTGCTACTGAGCATCTGCAGTGATGGGAGTGAATGCTGAATGTGGCTTTCAGTCAAATGGGCTGCTTTGTCCTGGATGGGGTCAATCTTCTCTTTGATGATAGTATAAGGTAGGGGTGGAGGTTAGATAGACCTTAGGCTTAGGGCAAAAGTTCAGCACAACATCGTAGGCCGAAGGGCCTGTACAGTGCTGTACTGTTCTATGTTCTATGTTCTCGAGTGTTGTTGGAGCTGTACCCATCCAGGCAAGTGAGGAGTATTCCATCACACTCTTGACTTTGCCTCATAGATGATGGACAGGCTTTGATGACTACAGTCTGTATCGGGTTGCTGAATCTCTGTTGTTCCTTTTAATTGGGATCTTTGATACGCTATGGGCTGGGGCAAGAATGTAAGGGTTCATGATTTGGAGCTGGTGCCTGAATTATTTGATGATTTGCTGTGATTTAGCAATCCTGACCATGTTTGCTATAGATAGGGCAATGTTAAGTCACTGTAAATCTCTGCAGAATCATCAGTTAAAGTTTGATGGATAATAGGAGTTAAAATATTGAAGGGGAACACCAGAGTTAAGTGCCGGCCTGTGTTGTTCTGAATCACTAAACTAACCTGTCTTCACTGAGGTACTCAGAAACTTTGGCCGAATTTATCAGCCAGCACTTCCTTCCACTTTCTGTCTCTCAACTAATCTCCCACTGGCACTTTGTAAAGAGCAAACTCTCTCACTGTCACTGCCGATTCGTTTGTTTTCTTTTTCCTGTGACTTGCTAATTATCCGATTACAACTGGAAGCCAGCTAGCAAGAACAGAGTGCCGGCCTGCCGATTGGTTGCTCCTTTAATTTTCTTTGTGACTCACGATCTTTTCTCTGTCTTTTTTGTGTTCTTTCTTGCAGTTCAGTCTTTCACCTTCACCCCTGCAGGTACTGTCTGTTTGTCCGTCTCTTGCATGCCATTGCAACGGAATGAGCTAACAAGCAGCTTGTGTTTTCCCTGCATGCTCCTGTCACCTTCGCCGTCCCCTCCTCCTCCCATTACCCAGGGCAGGGAGAGCTGGGGAGCAAGTACTCTGTCACCCACTTAGGGCACGTGGGTCCACCAAGGCCATTCCGCATTTTTGTCACCCAGACGACCTGCTCCTCGTTCACCTCAACGATACTAGTTTCGTCTTTAACCAAGTCGAGCTGTCTGCCTTTGGTTTTCGAAACACTGAGCATGTCCACCCCTAAAAAAAAGTAGTAGACAAGAGAAGAGCCTGGTTTCCTGTGGTGAGCTGGGAATGGAAGGGGGATAGTAAGTGGCTGAGTCAGAGGATGTCTCGGAATTTGAGACTTGTGAGAGAGGGAGAATCCAGGCCCCCAACAAGGCAATGGGAAAGGAGAATGATTGATTGGATAATAGAATGATTGTGTAAATGCCTTCAGAGGGAGTCCTTGTGGCATCTGTGATTGACATCATAGAAGAGATGGAGGCCATTTGGCCAATTGTGCCTGTTTCATCTGCTATGAAGGACCAAGGGAGTGTTGTACAGTCAGAGGTGGGAAATCCAGGGAGCGGTTGAGGCAAAAACATTGAATGTTTTCAGGAAGGAGTTAGATATAGTTCTTAGGGCTGAAGGGGTCAAAGGGTATGGGGAGAAAGTGGGAACAGGGAACTGAGTTGGATGATCAGCCATGATCATACTGAATGGTGGAACAAGCTCAAAGGGCTGAATGGCCTACTCCTGTTTTCCATTTTACTATATATTTATGACCCGGGGAATTCAGGAGAAATCAGAAGAGGATGTGTTACAGCTGGGAATGGTTGAGGTGATTAGCACAGATATATCAGAGGAGAAAAGTAAAGTAGCAGATGAGGGAGAAAGCAGACAGAGGATATACTGATGGATTAAGATGAAGACATGTGGGAAAGCATGAACACCTGCATGGATTTGTTGGGCCATTGGCCTGTTTTGGTGATTTAATACTATGTAAAGCATCATTCTGCTGATGAGATGCTGAATTAATGCCTTGCTTGCTCACTCAGGTGCATCCTGGGAAAAGGGGAATTCCATCTGTGCTTTGGAACAATCTAGAACAAGGTGGCACAGCCATAAAATGACAGTGAAATTAGAAACCCCGATTTCCACAAATTGGGTGATAACTACCCAGAACTTCCTGATACCTTCAAGCGGTTATGACTGCTGGAGTCTAACTGCGATGTTCAAAACTGAGGTGGTTCGGTTTGTTTTGTTGGGTGATGGTGTTAAGGGATGTGCAGCGATGGTGGATAAATGGAAGTGCATGAAATCAGACAGAACCTCATTGATGGGCAGAACAGGCTCAAGGGAATGACTGTTCCTTTTCTTGTTCGGTTCACCTGGATTTACACAAAAACTGCTCTGAAAAGCGAGAGAGCTGGTTCAAGTATCAGCAAGCAGGCTGTAATCTTTTCCTAAACTAATGGCAAATGATTACTCACAAGCTCCTGTGGAGATCCGATGTCTTTCCCAAGTCTGTCTGAACTCACGCTCAACAAATGAATCTACACATTTTGCGAGCTAACCTGACCAGGATGCTACAATATGTATGAGTGATGGTCAAGTTGCTTTGAAAGATGAAAATAATGTCTCTCACTGGTTTTCATTAGTTAGTTCAGTGTTTTATAGTCAGTGGTATGCGTTCCGCAATAACAGTAGCCATTAGTACACTGAATCTTTAGATTCTGAATAGTAGTTGACACTCGCCCATAACAGGAGAAAACAAATTGCCACACTGTCTTATGTTAGTGTAAGAATGAATTTCATGTGTGAGTAAAGGATGAGGCAGACAGTAACTGCATCTCCTCCTCCATTGAAACAGAATCATTTTCAGTGTAATATCACGGCATTTTTTAATGTTTCTCGATTCTGAGAGGATACTGTCTGATGTGGGGGTACTTCAGACAGAGCGAGGGAGGTTTCCTCTGTATCTAACCCAGTACTGTACCTGTCCTGGGAGTGTTTGATGGGGACAGTGTAGAGGGAGCTTTACTCTGTATCTAACTCCGTGCTGTACCTGCCCTGCGAGTGTTTGATGGGGACAGTGTAGAGGGAGCTTTACTCTGTATCTAACCCTGTGCTGTTCCTATCCTGGGAGTGTTTGATGGGGACAGTGTAGAGAGAGCTTTACTCTGTACCTAACCCCGTGCTGTCCCTGTCCTGGCAGTGTTTGATGGGGATGGTGTAGAGGAAGCTTTACTCTGTATTTAACTCTGTGCTGTCCCTGTCCTGGGAGTGTAATGGGGACAGTGTCGAGGGAAATTTACTTTGTATCTAACCCCACGCTTTACCTGTGCTGGTCGTAACTATTTTTGTGTAAATGAATGTATTCCTTTACCCACTACTAACATCCCTCAACAGAATAAGCCCAACATATACACTGCTGTATTTTGTATTCAATGAGGATTTTTATTGCCTTTTGCTCAAGCATGTTTCTGCAAATAATAACCCTTTCTTTCGTAAAGATTTACTTTGCAAGAATCTTGAGGTCAGGATAAATGCTTCAAGGAAACAGTCCTGTGCAGTAAGATTAAACATTATCCCTGTCATTATCCTTTGTTGCACCATCTTGATGTTATGAGAGGTTATGGAGGATACAAGATATTAATTCCAAGAGGGAATTCAGGAGAAATGTCTTCATCCAGAGAGTGGTGATAATGTGGAACTATTTATTGCATGTAGTAGGTGAGGCAAAGGTCACAGATTCAGATGAAGTTTGAAGACGATGCGAGGGAGGAAGATATGTTGATGGGTTGAGCTGACACAAGGTGGAAGGAAGCTCCCCTACTCTTACTGCCTGCCGATTGGAAGGAATTACAGGCTGACCATCAACCTTTTTTGTCCACTTTCTGCCTCATGGACATTTACAGCACAGAAGAAGGTCATTCAGCCCATCAGGTTTGCACCTGTCAATGAGTTTGTGGCTCAACCAATCCCATTTCACACCTTTTGGTCCATAGCCCCGGAAGTTACAGCAACACAATCTAAATCCTGCTTAAATGTCCCAGTGGCTTGTGACTCAACCACCCTTTCAGTCAGTAAGTTCCAGATTCCTTCTTTTCAGTTTCTTCTCAGCTGTCCTCGAAACTTTCTACCTCTTAAACCTAGACTTCTTGGTTATTAACTCCTCCACAAATGGAAAAATTACCCTCCTATCTATGTCCCTCATAATCTTACATACCTCTCTCAACCTTCACAGCTCCAAGGTAAACAACCCCAGCTTATCCAGTCTTACCCTGTCACGCAGAGCCCCCAGACCAGCCATCATCCTGGTAAATCTCAATGCCTCTGTATTCTCCTCCTTCCTATAATGTGGTGACCAGAACTGCACAGAGTACCCTGGTTGTTGCCCAACCAGCATTTTATACAGTTCCAGCACAAACTCACTGCTCTTATCCCGTATTGTACCTCAGCTCATAAAGACAAATGTCTCACATGGCTTTTTAATCAACCTTACCCACCTGCCGTGCTGCCTTCAGAGATCTGCGCGCACACACACCAAGGTCTTGCTGAGCTTCAGTACTTTCCAGGGTCCAATCATTGACAGTGTAGTCCCTTGCCTTGTTAGCACTCACCAAGTGTATTACCTATATAACACAGTGTGGAGCTGGAGGAACACAGCAGGCCAGGCAGCATCAGAGGAGCAGGAAAGCTGACATTTTGGGTTGGGACCCTTCTTCAGAAAAGTGTATTACCTCACATTTTTCCAGGTTGAATTTCATTGACCACAACTCTGCCCACCTGACCAGTCCATTGATATCTTTTGCAGTTGTCCCTCCTCATTATTAATCATCCGACCAATTTTTGCATTATCTGCAAACCTTTTGATCAGACATTTAATTCCAAATCTTTAATGCGCACTACACACAGCCCTCAGTATCTGCTTGTCCTTTTTATCTTCATTCTAACATTTACGTACCTTGATATCCAGTCTCGGTCCCACCCTTTGTCTCACCAGGAACAGTTTTGACCTGTATCAGAAGCTTGAACACACACAACAATGGTTCAAGAACAGCTTCTTCCATGCTGTTATCAGACTGCTGAATAGACCCCTCTAGTTTGAAATCTAATGTTGACCTTGCTTTTGTTACACCTCCTGTGCAGTTGTAACCTTGTATGCCTCACTCTGTCTAAGAATCCTATGATCTGTGCGTCCTTGTTTGCTATGATCTGCCTGTACTGCTTACCAAACAAAACTTTTCACTGTACTTAGGTACATGTGATAACAATAAATCAAATTCAAATTCTTGTTACTTCACCCATGGGTGTCCCTTACTGCACTGACACGTTAATGCAGATTCCAACAAATCCTGGTGCGGGTCTTGAACCCAGACGTCCTGGCTCAGAGACAGTGATGCTACCTGCTGCATCAGAAGACCCAGCCAGAGGTTTACCTTAGCCATAAACACTGACGTTGAGATTGAATGTCCTGCTTCTGTACTGGATAATAGTAGCCTCAAAACTACCCAATCATGTACGTAATTTAGGGCAGGAAACCCAGTTCAGCAATACCCCACTCCAATTAATCCCCAGATGAAATTTTACTGAGATAAGGAACAGAAAAGAATCTGCAGTTTGGTCAGCCGCTGCGGAGAGAAAGAGAGTTAACATTTCAGGTCAATGACCTTTCATCAGATCCCTTCATAGAAGACCTTTTTACCCTGAAATTATTAAAATTTAACTGTTAAATTTTTAGAAAATGTTGAAGACAGATGTGACTTAAAATGAAATTCCAGCCATCAAACTGCAAATCGTATCAATTGGTGCTTGGTTTCTTTATAACACGTCATTTTCGTGTCACAGTATCTGTGGATAGCTCCCTCTTCTGAAGTATAATTGCATTGTATAAATTAGATAGCGAGGCTGTCACAAGGGCTGTTTTAATGTTGGCATTGTGTCAATACACTGAAATCACCAGCCATTCTGATAAGCTATACCTTGACTGGCCCAACTGATACACTAACGTGTGCAAGCATTAAAAGAAAATGTCTAATTTGATTTAAACTAGATGGTGTTTCTTTAATTCATTCACCAGTTCTGCCAGAATTTATTGCCCGCCCCTGTAGTGTTTCAGAGGGTAGCTAAGAGTGAGACACGTTCCTGTGGATTTCGAGTCACGTGTTGGTCAAACTGTGTAGGGCCAGTAGCTCCTTCCCTAAAGGACGTTAGCGAACCTGACAGGTTTTAACAAACAGGCGTGCATTAACGTCGCCCCCTCATGACGTCAGGATGGCCCATAGTGTTTTATAGCTGAAGAAATCTCTGTGAAGTGTAGTCACTTGTTTCAGCGTCAGGGATGCATCAGCTGGATCAGAGAATCAGCAATGTGATCACAACCAGATCATCTGCATTTTCATGGTATTGGTTTATTAAATATTGGCCCAGGACACAGACCAATTCATCGTCCAGCAGGGTCATGGGTTCTTTCCTATTTGCCAGATAGAAGCAGATGTGGCGACAGCTTCAGGTTTGACCTAAACCACAGCACCTCTGACTGGACCGCACACCTTCAGACGATCAGCATTAGTCTTCCATGATCCCAGAATGAGACTTTATGGCAACAGGCTGACTGCATTTGTGCTCTTCCTCCAGCTGCTGATCAAAAGGCTGCCCATGTCTGAGTGCTGGTCCAGTCAGTTTAAGTGCATAAGCCAGGCTCTTAGTGAGGGAGTGCTGCACTGTCAGAAGTGCAGACCCCTGGATGAGCTCACACCTTGTCATCTTGTTGAGGTTGGAGCTGAATGTACTTGAGAGACATTGTAGGTTCTAACCAACCATCAAAAACAGCAGAACAATGATTGTAATGATCTCCATGAAGTTAGAGTGAGATTTTCTCATAAGAGAAAAAAGATTATGAATTATATTTTAACAGGCACCCTCCAGACAGAGGTCTTATTATCGAGCAGATAACTGATCCAAGGGCAGATTGTTGTAAAAGCCGAGTTCTTTCTGAGTGACATGACATGCTGAAGGATTATTTAACTAAGTCTCAACCTCTTTTTCTCTGTTTCTTTTCTCATGTTGCGGGAAAAAATAAAGTAACTTTCCAACGTGTCGATGGAGGAATAATGAGCAATGGAAGGTAAGATAAACTGAAGCAAAGATCTTGATTGTCCCAATATCTATTTGACTATTAGAACCCCTCTATCAATGAGGCCATCTATGTATGGAATCATAAACACATGTTTTGTGTCGGTATTTACCATGGAGAAAAGCCTGGAAGCTAGGGACCCCGGGGAAATAAACAGTGATGTCTCGAAAAGATTCGACAATACAGAAGAGCAGGTGCTGGAGTCTTAAGACACATAACGATAGATCTATCCCTGTGACCTGATCAAGTGCTTTTTTACCCTGGAGCATTGGAGGCTGAGGGTTGACCTTATAAATGTTTATAAAATCATGACAGGCATGGATAGGGTGAATAGCCAAGGTCTTTTTCCCAGTTTGGGGAATCCAAAACTGGAAGTAACAAAAACAAAGTTGCAGGAAAAGCTCAACAGGTCTGGCAGCATCTGTGAAGGAAAAAGGAGTCAACTCAGTTCTGAGGAAGGGTGACCAGACCCGAAATGTTAACTCCTTTTTCCTTCACAGATGCTCCCAGACCTGTTGAGCTTTTCCTGCAACTTTGTTTTTGTTCCTGATTTACAGCATCTGCAGTTCTTTTGGTTTTTATTTAGCCCAAAACTAGAGGCACAGGTTTAAGGTGTGAAGGGAAAGATTTAAAAAGGACCTAAGGAGCAATGTTTTCATGCAGAGGGTGGTGAGTATATGGAACAAGCTGTCAAATGAAGTGGTGAAGGCTGGTACAATTACAACATTTAAAACATATCTGTATGGGCATATGAATAGGAAGAGTTTAGAGAGATATGGGCCAAATGCTGGCAAATGGGACTAGGTCAAATTGGGATGTGTGGTCAGTGCGGACGAGTTGGACCAAAGTGTCTGTTTCCGTGCTGTATGACTCTATAAGTGTATCCCAGACAATGTGGGAATGTAGAGAGGAAATTGTGGGGCCCTAGTGGACATATTTTTATCACGAACAGCCATGGATGATGTGCTTAAAGACCAAAGGGTGGCTAATGTTGTGCCATTATTTCAGAAAGGCTGTAAGGAAAAGCCAGAAAACTACAGACCAGTGAGCCTGACATCAGTGGTGGGTAAGCTTTTAGAGGGGTTTCTGAGAGACTGGATTTACATACATTTGGAAAGGCAAAGACTGATTAGGGACAGGCTGCATGGATTTGTGCATAAATCATGCCTCACAAACTTGATTGAGTTTTTTGAAGAGGTGACCGAGAAGCCAGATGAAGGCAGAGCGGTGGATGTTGTCTACATGGACATTAGCAAGGCTTTTGATATGGACAACTGGTTGATAAGGTTAGATCACATGGGATTCAGGGAGACCGACCCAATTGGATAGAAAATTGGCTTGACGGCAGGAGACAGAAGTTGGTGGTATTCGAGATAACAAGGTGCAGAGCTGGATGAACACAGCAGGCCAAGCAGCATCAGAGGAGCAGGAAAGCTGACGTTTCGGGCCTAGACCCTTCTTGAGGTGGTATTCGGTTGCTTTTCGGTTTGGAGGTTGTGACCAGCAGTGTGCTGCAATGGTTGGTGCTGGGTCAACTGTTGTTTGTCATTTATATAAACGATTTGGATGTGAATATAGGAGATATGGTTAGTAAGTTTGTGAATGACACCAGAATTAGTGGCATAGTTGACAGTAAAGAATGTTAACTAAGAGTACAATGGGATCTTGATCAACTGGGCCAGTGGGCTGAGGAATAGCAGATAGAGTTTAATTGAGATACATGTTGTATTTTGGTAACAGAAGGCAGGAGTTACACAGTTAATGGTAGGGCTAAGGAATCTTGTCAAACAGAGGGACCTAGGGGTGCAGCTACATAGTTTCTTGAAAGTGGTGTGACAGGTAGACAGGATGGTGAAGAGGTTGTTTGGTATGCTTGCCTTCATCGGTCAGAACATTGAGTACAGGAGTTGGAATGTCATGTTACAGCTGTTAAAGACATTGGCAATGCCACATTTGGACTACTGCTTACAATTCTGGTCAGCCTGCTAATAGAAAGGATGTTATTAAACTGGAGAGGTGTCAAAGAGCTTGACAAGGATATTACCAAGACTTGAGGGTTTGAGTTGTAAGGAGAGACTGGATAGGCTGGGACTTTTTTAACTGGAGCATAGGAGGCTGAGGGGTGACCTTGTAGGGTGTTATACAATCATGAGGAGCACAGATAAGGTGGATACCTGAGGTCTTTTCACCAGGGTGGGGGAGTCAAAAACTAGAGGGCATGGGTTTAAGGTGAGAGGGAAAGACTTAGAAGGGATCTGAGGGGCGACTTTTTCACACAGAGGGTGCTGCATATATGGACAGAGCTGCCAGGGAAGTGATAGAGGCAGGTACAATTAAAACATTTAAAAGACTTCTGGAATACATGGATAAGAAACGTTTAGAGGGACATGGGCCAAACACAGCCAAATCAGACTAGGTCAGTTTGGGAGACCTGGCCGCACTATTGAGAGGTCAGTCAGTGACACGGTGAGAGGGCCGCACTGTCGGGGGGTCAGTCACACAGTGACAGGGCCGCACTGTCGGGGGGTCAGTCACACAGTGAAAGGGCCGCACTGTCGGGGGTCAGTCACACAGTGAAAGGGCCGCAATGTCAAGGGGTCAGTCACACAGTGACAGGGCCACACTGTCGGGGTGTCAGTGACACAGTGACAGGGCCGCACTCTCGGGGGTTCAGTCACACAGAGACAGGGCCGCATTGTCGAGGGGTCAGTGACACAGTGACAGGGCCGCAATCTTGGGGGTTCAGTCACACAGAGACAGGGCCGCACTGTTGGTGGGTCCGTCACACAGTGACAGGGCCGCACTGTTGAGGGGTCAGTCACACAGTGACAGGGCCGCACTGTCGGGGGTTCAGTCAGTCACACAGTGACAGGGCCGCACTGTCGGGGGGTCAGTCAGTCATACAGTGACAGGGCCGCACTGTCGGGGGATCAGGCACACAGTGACAGGGCCGCACTGTTGGGGGTCAGTCACACAGTGACAGGGCTGTACTGTAGAGGAGTCACTCACACAGTGACAGGGCCGCACTGTCGGGGGGTCAGTGACACAGTGACAGGGCCGCACTGTCGAGGGGTCAGTCACACAGTGACAGGGCCGCACTGTCGAGAGGTCAGTGACTCAGTGACAGGGCCGCACTGTTGAGAGTTTAAACTGTGGTATGGTGTCAGATCCCATAATGGAATATCCCATTGTCAGTTCACCCGTACACAGAGCCATTGCAGAAACTGGTTTGCTGAGAAGCTTTAGCTGCGAATTCGAGAGAAGGTTAAAAAGGATTGAGTTTCGTTTGCAGGTTAGAAAATGGTTCATGTCTGAGGAAGACTTGGAGGGATTTCAAAAAACCCATCAAACTGTTTAATATCTGTCATTTGTGAGGAAGGGAATTCTGCTGAAATCTCATGCTCGCTTGCTGCAGAGGTGTTAGCTGTATTCATGAGGTATTAGTCAACAAAGATTTTAGTGATTCTCACTTCTTATTGGCCACCTTCAAATTGCCTTGAATACCCAATTACACTGAATCGATCACAGAGTAAATGACTCATAGATGATGAATTGGTTGGAAATTGGTTGTGTGCATTTGTGAAGACAGTCGATTCAGATTGATGAAGGAATTGCTGTTGGATCAGCTTCTGCTGCTGTGCTAACTGTGAGCAGACACAGCAGCTGGATTCCCCATCTCCAATGCTCCACCATCGGTGAATGTATCTTCAATTGACTAGGCTGTAAACTCTGCAATCCCCTACCTTACCCTCTCCACTTCTCCCTTAAAATCTTTATTGTTGACGAATATTTTGTTTATCTGTTTTAGTGTCAGCTTATATAACTCAGAGTAAGGCATTTTCCCTCCATTGAAACATAGAACCATAGAAAATAGGAGCAGGAGTAAGCCATTCAGCCCTTCGAGCCTGCTCCACCAATCAGTATGGTCATGACTGATCACCCAACTCAGTCCCCTGTTCCTGCTTTCTCCCCCATACTCTGTCATCCTTTTAGCCCTAAGAACAAGATCTGACTGAAACAGCTTATACCATTATATTAGGTTGCAGGACTTATGGAAAAGCAGGCTGCTATTGATCATTGAGGAACGGAAGTTCATTGATGTATTTACAGGAGTTTTGATCTGCTCTCAACAAGTCTCTTACTAGTACAGGAGGAGCTCGAGGAGAGGGGAGGGAGCCTGTCAAATTGGGATGTTGCTGAACGAAATTCTGGAAATGGAAGAGTCAGATCAGCTTAAACCAAAGAGAGTGTCATAGAGTCAGAGTTATACAGCATGGAAACAGACCCTTTGGTCCAATCAGTCCACGCCAACTAAACTAGACCCACCTGCCTGCATTTGGCCCAAGGTCTATAGTTCCCAGGCTTCATACAGCCTTTCTTATACAATGGCACAACATCAGCCACTCTCCAGTTGTCTGGTATCTCACCTGTGTTTATAGATGATACAAATACCTCTGCTAGGAGCCCTGCAATTTCCTCCCTACCTTCCCACAATGTCCTGGGACTCACTTGATCAGGAAGATCCCAGGAACAGCCCCTGAGGTATCACTTGGTATTGTCATTGACGCCAGTAACGAAGGAACACTGTGAAAACAAAAACAGAAGGTGCTGAGAATCTCAATGAGCCTGGCAGCATCTGCAAAGAGAGAGAAACAGAGTTAATGTTTCGAGTCTGTTTTGGCTCTCATTCAGACAGCACGTTAGAATGTCCTGATGGTGGGATTGTTCCCATATAAATGCAAGTCTTTCTTTCTTTCCTTCAAGTTAGTTATGTATTCATGTTGTGAGTATTTCTCCTTTCATGCCACTGAGTTTCACTGGGGTACAAGCTAACTCCTTGCTGTCTAATTGCTGGTACTGAGGCATGTGGGAACATGAAGCAGGAAGGAGGATCTTGCATTGCTGTAGCACCTTCCATGATTACAGGATGTTCCAAAGTAATTTGCAACCAATGAACAATAGTCGGGTCCCCATTGCCTCACAGCAAACAC